CCTTCGCTGATTCCCACCACTGGGTGGCGATGCCCTGGGGACCTCCGCATCCTGTGATTTCAAAACATGATTTTCTTGGTGTCTCCAGAGCTGGCTACGAGCTTCTCAGTGAGCCAGGACTGGGCCTCAGAAAGCCTTTGTTCCCCCATCACCTGGAGCGGCGTTCATATTCAAGAAATATGTCAAGGGGAATAATTAAATTTAATTAATTAATAATTAATTAAAATTAGGAGATTAGAAAGAACTGAGCTTGCGACTCTGGAGAGCAGGGCTGGGTACAGGGTCTGGCCCACGGTGAGTGCTCAATACACCGAGGGAAAAACTCTGACCTCACCTCTGAGGATGACACAAAGCGCATGTTCAAGGGCGGCTTGCAGCACACTTCTGAGTTCCCTGCGCCATCCAGGATCTATCATGCTGGCAGTCCTACCCCGGGGCAGTCAGTCGGCCACAACGTGTTCAGCGAATCAAGGAATGGACCTGTCGAAGGGCCTGGACTCAGATGCCCTGTTCACATTCTGAAGTGCTGGTCACTGAATCTGCCTCTTGACCTCTGGGAACCAGTCTATGAAACGTGCTTACTCAGTGCCCCAATTGGTACACACATTGGTACACAAATGTTAACTCAGTTCTTGCAAAGATAAAAACGAACTCGCACATCAAAGTGATGACCCTACCTCAGGTCCCCTCCAGTCTCGGATGGAGAGTGATCCACACCAGAGATTGGCAGCTTTGTTTACCCTCCCCAGCACCCAGAACAGGAATGTTATCAGTATGCGTGGCAAAGGAGTGCAGAGAAACAGGAGCGGGCTCCCTGGGAGGGGAGAGGGACTCAAGAAGGAGAGCAGCTCAGCCAGGTGCCCTGGTGCACACCTGTAATCCAGCTATGTGGGAGGCTGAGGCAGGAGGATCACAAGTTCCATGCCAGGCTTAGCAATTTAGAGAGCCCTGTCTCAAAATAAAACATAAGGACTGGGGATATAGCTCAGTTGGTAGAGTGCTTGCCTTGCATGCACAAGGCCCTGGGTTCAATCCCCAGCATCAAAAATAAATAAATAAATACAACATAAGCCAAGTGTGGTAGCGGCACACCTGGAATCCCAGGCTGAGGCGGTAGCATTTTGAGTTCAAAGCCAACCTCAGTAACCTCAGTAACTTAGGAGGCCCTAAGCAACTCAAGGAGACCCTGTTTCTAAATAAAATACAAAATAGGGCTGGGGATGTGGCTCAGTGGTTGAATGCCTCTGAATTCAATCCCCGTACCCAAATATAAATAAGTAAACAAATAGCAAAAAATTGGTACCTAGTGGGTATAGTTGTTTTTTTGTTGTTGTTGTTGTTGTTGTTTATTTGTTTTTTTAAGATGGGGTCTCACTTTTTTACTAAGGCTAGCCTTAAACTTCTGATTCACACAACCCTCCTGCCTCAGTCTCCTGAGTAGCTGGGACTACAGGAGCATTCCACTATGCCCAGCTGATAAGATTTTTTTTAATGGGGGGGAAAAGCCATGCGGATGTGAGAGTTGTACTGCCGTGTATAGACCAGTGTGGTAGCTCCTCAAAAACTGAACCTAGAATTCCCATATGGTCCAGCAGTGCCACTTTTAGGTAGAGACCCATAAGAACTGAAAGTGGGTAGTCAGATTGATACACAAATGTCCAGAGGAAAAAAAATAGACTAAAAGGCAATAATAATAATAATCACAATAACTATCAAGAATGCTACTAAGTCAGAAAGGGAAGGAAGCACGGACCTAGGCCACAACCCAGACAACCTGAAACATGAGACTGAGTGACAGAAGCCAGACAAAAGGCCACATGGAGGGATGCCCCTGACACACAATGTCCAGAGCAGGTGGATCCCTAGGGACAAGAGGTAAATCAGTGGGATTTAACCCAGGGGCTGGGGGAAGGGAGTACCTGCTGAGGAGGGGGGCAGGGCCTTCTGCATCTGTGGGTTCTACACCCACAGATTCAACTGACCTAGGTAAAGAAAAATTGGAAAAAAAAATTGCACTTGTACTTGACACGTACACAGTTTTTCTTGTTATTCCTTAAACAGTACAGAGTGGCGATGGTGTACACAGCGTTGACATTGTATTAGGTGCTCCAAGTCATCTAAAGGCAGTTCAGTCCATGAGAGGATGCGTGTAGGGGCCATGCAAATACTCTGCCAATTTATAAAAGAGAATGGAGCATCCTCAGATTCGGGTATCCTTAGGGTGTCCTGGAACTCATTCTATTGGAATATCGAGGGATGGCTATATCTGAAACTAGAGATTGTGAATGCACAGCACTAAGAGTACACATTAAAAGGGTTGAAATGGTAAATTGCATGTCATATGTACTTTACCACAATAAAAAAGAAAGGGGAAATTGGTACCCAGGAATACTACACAGCTGTGAAAATGAATGACATGATACTCAACATGAGGAGCAAGAAAAATCAGAAGCAGGTGTGAAAACTATGTGCAATCCTGTTTGTGTGAAGCTCAAAATCAGGTAAAATTCCCCTATAGCACTGAAGGTCGGGGAAGTGGTCACCTTGAGGTGAATCAACTTGAGGGTCCAAGGAACCACCAGGAGCTGGAGCAGAACTAGATTCCAGTCCAAAAGCTGTTCCCCAAATCCAGCTCCACTCCCGATGTCTGGGAACTTTCACATGTCGGTGGCAAACCTTGACAAAAATGATGGAAAAGTGGGGTGTGACTGGGGTCTGGCTGGGTGGTAGAGCACTTGTCTAGCATGTGTGAAGCTCTGGTTCCACCCGAAGCATTGGGGAGGAGAGGGGATGGGGAGAGAGAGGGGAACTGGAGAATTGCTAGGGGAAGAAGATGAGAGCATGCAGCAGTCCTAAGGCCCCAGGATTCTGTTTTCCCCACAAATGCTGTCACCTGACCCACCTGGGGACTTTTCACCTGGAAACAGGCGTGGAGCTGGGGATGGATAAATGCAGGAGGACAGTGACTTGAATCCAGGGCCTGGAATTCCATAAATGACCCCCAAATGCTTCTCAGTCCTTTGGGAGATGTTCCCCACACTCTCCACATCAGGATTCCCATCCTGGGGGATACTCTGGGACAGGAAAACCTTGGACCTCCAGAACATCAGGACATTGGCCCCCAAGAGCCTAAGGGGGGACCTTTCTCTCAAATCAGACTCCCTTGTGGAGACACATTTTGGCACTTCAGGCCCTTTAAGAACAATGAGAATTAATGCCAATAATCATAACTCACAGTCTTGGGCAGAAAGAAGAGCATGGACTTCCGTCGGAAGCTTGCAGGCTTGAATCCTGTGCCAATCAACGGTCATGTGTGGAGTGAATGAATGAATGGAGGATGAATGGACATTTTCCCCACTCATTCAGGCTTTTGTAAAAACAAATTTTATCATGACCTTCCCAACCTAGTCCTATCTGGTCATTGGGTTCCCACAGCTTAGGGAGATAGAGCTTGTCACAGCCACCCTAGCCACCACTATTGCCCAGAGCAATAACAGAGGAAATCACAGGCAGCCAGGACACAGGGAAGAGAGCCAGGTGGGAGGGGCCAGGCCAGAGGAAGGATGCTGGCTGAAAAGAGAAAGAGGAAGCCCAGAGCAGGGACATTACAGGTGCACGTGGCTGGCAGCTATTACACACTGATGGGGGGGAAGTTGGGTTGAACAAGTCAATTACTGAATAGTAATAGGAGGCTGATTCTACTTTCTGGACCTTTCTCAATTCTGTCCTGATTTGTTATGCCTTATATATTTCCAGAAACAGGGAGCCCAGTCCTGAGGGAAACAGCCCAGTCCTTCTCGTGCCCGGGTGACTGCCCAGAAGTTCAGGGCAACATGGCTTTTCAAATAGGGGCCACCAAAGGCAAAAGAGCCAAATGAGAATGTCCTGAGTGGGTTAGGGGTACCAAAGGGAAACACCCAGGTGGTCCCTGCCAAAGACTACATCTGGAGTCAAACCACTTGGGTTCAAATCTGCTGTAACACACACAGGCCTGGTGACATCTGCCCTCCAGACTTCGGTGTGCTCTCCTTTCCTCTGTAATAACAATAACAGTGTCTGGCTCATAGCTTTATATACGTACTCCATGAGCTAATCAAGTAAAATGCCTGTCACACAGTAGGTTCAGAGTAAATGTGTGCAGTGCTCCAGGCCCAGAGTGCTCTGGATGAAACCCAAACACATACGAACTTACTTGCCTATGTCTAAAATTTAGCTTACACTTTATTTTATTTTTTTTAAATATATTTATTCTTACGTTTTTAGATGGACACAACATCTTTATTTTACACTTATGTGGTGCTGAGGATCGAACCCAGTGCCTCGTGTATGGTAGGTGAGCACTCTACCACTGAGCCACAACCCCAGCTCCTTAGCTTACACTTTAACTGCTGCCTCACTTGCTCTTGCCTGTACCTGGCAAACTCCTACACATCCCTCCAAGCCCCACCTACAAGATACATTTCTCTTTCCTATTTAAACTCCAGCTAGGAAGCTATGAGCATTCATCTGCAGCTGATTCTGACTGGGCTCACTGTGATTGGAGCTCCACCCCAGCAGAAATTCTGATCCACATGTAGTAGGCTTCTGGTCAAAGCTTATTTTAGTTTTGTTTTATTAAACCCAGGACCTTGTGCATGCTAGGCAAGTGTTCCACCACTGTGCAACATCCCAGCCCTTTCTTCTGTTTGTAAATTTTGAGACAGGGTCTTTCCAAGTGCTGGGCTGGCTTCAAGCATGCAATCCTCCTACCTCGGCCTCCGGAAAAGCTTGCTGAATGAATGAATGAATAAACATATAAAAGGTTATTTGGGAGGAGCATACCAAAGCGGAGACCTGAGTGTCCGCCAAACCTTTCAACACTCGCACCCCAGGCTCTCCTGGACCTCGAAGGGCCTGGAGGGGGCTAACAAAGTGGGGAGAGGGAGCTTCCGGGAGGGTCTTCAGCCCTTCCGGTGCGGCCCCTTTAAGGGGCGGGGCCAGCGGGGCGGGCACCTAGAGCGTCAGGGCGGCGCGAAGATGGCGGCAGCGGTGCCCGTGGCGGCCGAGGTGCCGAGCTCGTTGCTGCTGGTGGTGGGCGGCGAGTGCGGCTGCCCGGGGCTGCTGGCCTACGTCCTGGAAGAGCTCGAACGAGGTCGGGCCGGCCGGCGGCGCGGGAGCCGGGGAGGCGGGCGCGGCCGCGGTCTCCGCCCGGGGCCGGGGGTGGGGCGGCTCGGCCTGCAGCCGGGCGGGGGCGGCGGGGTCGCGGCGCGGTCCGGGGCGCGGGGCTCCCCCCTGCCGGGCGCGTGGCGCGGGCTTTGGCGGGGCAGCCGAGGGCGCCCGGGGAGGAAGCGGCGCCTGGGCCTGGCTGCCCCGCCCAGCCTGGGTGCGGACCGCGGAGGGGACGCTGCCCTTGGTTTCGGGACCCGCTGGATTGGGCAATCCCCCGGCTTCCTGCTCCGAGGAAGAGGCCGGGTCGCCGCGGGTCCCTGGGTCTCTGCAGCCTCGACGTGCTGGAGGGAGGGCCTACAGCCTCGGGGCTCGCTTTCCTTCGCTATCCGAAGACCAGCTAATTGGGGTGTGGGTGGGTGCGGCCTTCCCTGGGCGATTTGGCACTTGGGGAGGTGACTCACAGGTGCACCTGCAAGGTTCACCTGCAGCTACTTGGCACGGTAGGATGGACTGGCGTGCTGACCCCGTGGGTCAGGAGAACGTTCACGTCCCATTGGTCGGAGCACGCAGGCCTGCGTCCCCTCGCTGCAAAATGGGACCTCCGCACGCAGCTCAGTTTCTGTGCTTGGAGGATGTTTCCTGAGCACCTGCTGTGTGCCAGGCTTTCAGGCACTGGGACCCGGCCTGGATGGTGGACAGGCCCAGCCATGACTTCATGGGGCTCATGCTGTCCTGTCGGGATGGACCCAGGAGAATGAGGAGATGAACAAGTTTAAATTCCCATGGTGTCTCAAGTACACCAGGTGGGAATGGCTGAAAGGACAGCCACTGTTGGCACCTAAAGGTTATACACGGGGAAGGGCCACTGGACAGCGGCAACAGGTGGAGAGGCAGGGGGACGGGCTTCCAGGCTGTGGGAACAACTGGTGACAAGGTCCAGAGTGGACCCAACCTGGCTGGCCCGGAAGAGGAGCAGTGAGGAGGGGGAGAGGGAGAAATGAGATCACCATCCAGAAAGTGGGCACCCTCGTCACTGATATCCTGAGTTACTGTCCACATGCACCCTGGGTGGGTCTCCACTCAGATGCCTCAACTGTAGGTCTTAAGTGGTTCTGAGTCTCCAGGCTTTGATGATTGAGAAGGGGAAGGGTGCTAGCACAGCCATCGACTGTCAGGTGCTAGTTTCTGGGAGCTGGGTGGCCAGGCTGAACTGCCTCCATGCCCACCCCAACCAGGTGTCCGGTCCTGGGACATTGATCCTAGAGTCTGCAGCCTGGATGAACAGCTCAAGATCTTTGTGTCCCGGCACTCAGCCACCTTCTCCAGCATCGTGAAAGGTGAGGTTGGGTCTCTTGTTCATCAGGCAAGTGCTCGAAGAATGCCAGTCGGGGGCCAGGGTGCAGCTGTTTAAAAAAAACAAAACCAAACAAAGGAGTAATCCAGCCCAGGCCTGCCAGTGGCCGAGCCAGGCAGCCCTGACCTCAGGCCTCAGCAACCCAAAGACAGGACCTAGTGGTTTTGTTTCCATTTACCAGAGGAGACCATGGTGTTGTGGGCAGGGTGGCAAGAAGACCTCCAAGGATGAGGCTTTCGGAATGAGAACTGCTGAGGTTGGAGTGTGGGTAGGAAGGGTTCGGGGTCACTGGGCAGGTCTGGGAGGCTGGAGTGTGGAGGGTCTGAGTCTGGATGGCAGCCATGGCCTGGACACAGTGGGCGTTCTACTACTACCAACGTAGTGAGGGAACTAAGGAGTGAGATTCACCTGGCACAAGGCTCTTTGGGGATTCTGGGGTGACCCAGGGTGAACAGACCAGCCCCTGGGTGGGACTTGGGTATTGACTACTGTCCCTGCCTGGCTGGCCTGTTGAGTCACCTCCTGACTGCTAGAGGAAGGGAAGGAAATGTCCCTCGTCTCATTGTCCCAGCAGGTCCTGGTGGCTTCCTGACCCTTCGTGCATTAAGGGGGGGGGGGGCTGGAAATCCTGTCTGCACTGTGTGACCTCAATGACCACTTCCGCTCTATGCCTTAATCTCCCCCCTGAATGGGGCAATATCTGTGACAGCATGATAAGCGTTGACAGAGCTAGAGGGTCATTGGCTCTCCAGACTCAAGGCCTGTGCTTTATGTTTGAAACACATCTGGGCTGGGCACCGTGACACACACCTGTAATCCCAGTGGCTCTGGAGGCTGAGGCAGGAGGTTCCTAAGTTCAAATCAGCCTCAGCAACTTAGGCCCTCTCTCAAAATAAAAAATAAAAAGTACTGGGGATGTGTCTTAGTAGTGTAACACCCCTGGGTTCAACCCCTGGTACCAAAAATTAAAATAAATCAAAACACATCTGGGCTCTGGGGAACCCTCCAGGGTTGGGATCACAGAAGCAGCTCCACTCCCCGCCCTTCCTGCACTCGGCTCTGTCCTGCTTCTGGGTCATTGCCATGTTGTACCCTCTCCTGGGTGTGGCTCTCCTTGGACTTGGGCTCCTTGACTATAAACTGGAGGCGACGGTGGCTTTCCCCACTGGGTTACAGCTGCCCATCAGGCCCAGCACGCGTGGGCCTCTTGCCCGTTTCCAGGATGACCTCCTTGGGTTTCCTGGTCTCCCTTCATCCTGACCCACAGCCCTACCGTGTCCCATGTGACCCCAGGGTGTGTTCCTTGGGGAATCGTGGTACCCGAAGGCCATACAGGGAGGCAGGATTTAACTCCAGGACAGCCTGACACTGAGTGGGTGGCCTGGCTTGATCCCCTCACAGGCCAGCGGAGCCTGCACCACCGTGGAGACACCCTGGAGACCCTGGTCCTCCTGAACCCCTCAGACAAGTCCCTTTGTGATGAGGTAGGGAGCAGGCGACCTCCTGGAGGGAGTGGGTTGCTGGGGCTGCTGTCCCTCCACACACAGGCACCCTCTCAGGGTCCAGCTCAGCTCACTGCCTCCTCCAGGGCGGGAGCAGGGGAGGCTGGGGTTTGGGAGGGGGAAGGGGAGTGGGTCAAGATTCCCAGTCCTGGTCCCAGAGCAGCAGAGGCCTGGATGGGGGAGGGCAAGTCCTGCATGGTGTCTTTGTCTGTGAGTTCCCTCCAGCTGAGCCCCCCCCCCGTTGTCTGACATGACTTAGTAATACTCCTGGCCTGTGTCTGTCTGCGCCCCTCTCCCAACTGCACGTCAGAATGATGAACAGTACAGAGCCCCGGGGGCACCCTGCTAGAGACCATCTTTCAAGCTGATTCCTTTGATCAAAAATGTGCTCCTTTGGGGGCTGGGGTTGTGGCTCAGCGGTAGAGCGCTCCTCTAGCACATGCGAGGCCCTGGGTTCGATCCTCAGCACCACATAAAAATAAATAAATCAAAAGTATTGTCTCCAACTACTTCTAAAAAATAAATGTTTTAAAAAAGAAATATTCTTGGGGGCTGGGATTGTGGCTCAGAAGTAGAGCGCTCGCCTAGCATGCATAAAGCACTGGGTTCGATCCTCAGCACCACATAAAAATAAAAGGTATAGTGTCCACCTACAACTAAAAAAATAAATGTTTTAAAAAAAAGTTCTCTTTTGCTCCCTTAAGGGACTCTGAGACTGGAGGAGCCAGAGCCAGATGCAGATAGCTGTCAGCCTGTCATTTCAGAGCTGGGCTGGGGGAGGGGGCTCCCAGGAGGAGGGCCTGAGAGTCGACCCTTGTAGGAGGAGCTGGAGCTTGCCAGGGACAGGGCCGCTCCTCCTCCCAGCCTGCAGCTGCCTGCCTGTGGGTTGGGGCTGAGAAGTTAAGTAGCGGCCTGTGGACGGGGCGGGTGCTGCATAGGAAGGACCTTTAATGCTTGTCCCAGCTCCGGAACCTCCTGCTGGATCCTGCCCCTCACAAGCTGCTGGTACTGGCCGGGCCCTGCCTGGAGGAGACGGGGGAACTTCTGCTTCAGACAGGGGGCTTCTCGCCCCACCACTTTCTCCAGGTCCTGGGGGACAAAGAGGTAAGCTGCCCCCTTGCCATCCTGACTTGTCCCTATGGGGCTACAGGGCCCTCCTGCCTGACCCATCTCCCCTCCTATAGGACTACCTGTGTGCACCTTGTGGCCAGGGAGGAGTGCCACCTTCTGGGACAGGCTGTGGTGTGAGGCTGGGCCTGGCGCTCAGTGGGTATCCCAGAGGCCTGTTGCAGGGCCCCCAGATTTCAGGTCCAGCTAGGATAGACCCGAATAGGGTCCTTTCTGGAGCCCCAGTTCGGAGCGGGGTCAGTGGGCCACAAGCGCTGGCCGCTCACTGTTCACACCGTAGTGAGTGATGTGAAGGTGGGAAAAGGCACTGAGGTAGGGTGGGCCTGAGGGGAGCAGCTGCAGGGCGGGGGACCCTCCTGGCCCCAGGAGGCGGGGCTTGGTATTCTCTCGGTTTCCCGTGGGGCTGGCTGTTGCCTGCTCCAGCTCGCCCTTACCCGCTGCCCTGCAGATCCATGACACCCTGGCCTCCTCGCCTCCGCCTGCAGATCTGCCCACACTCACCATCACCTGCCCGACCTTTGGAGACTGGGCGCGGCTGGCCCCCGATGTGCCCAACCTGCAGGGCCCGCTCCGGCTGCAGCTGCGGCTGAACCCCCCTGTGCGGCTGCCGGCTGCCGAGGGCCTGCGGGAGTTCCTGGAGTACGTGGCCGAGTCCTTGGAGCTGCCGTCCCCCTTTGAGCTGCTGGAGCCACCGTCCTCTGGGGGCTTCCTCAGGCTCCCGCGGCCCTGCTGCTACATCTTCCCGGGAGGCCTGGGGGATGCCGCCTTCTTTGCCGTCAACGGCTTCACCATGTTGGTCAACGGTGGCTCAAACCCCAAGTCCAGCTTTTGGAAGCTGGTGCGGCACCTGGACCGAGTGGACGCCGTGCTGGTGACGCACGCGGGTGCCGATAGCCTCCCGGGCCTTAACAGTCTGCTGCGACGCAAGCTGGCTGAGCGTCACGAGGTGGCCACGGCCGGCGGGGGCTCCTGGGATGACAGGCTGCGCCGCCTCATCTCCCCCAACCTGGGGGTCGTGTTCCTCAACGCCCGCGAGGCCGTGTCGCGGCTGATGCGCGGTGAGGATGAGGCGGAGCTGGCGCTGAGCCTCCTGACCCAGCTGGGCATCACACCCCTGCCCCTGAGCCGCGGGCCGCTGCCTGCCAAGCCCACGGTGCTCCTGGAGAAGATGGGCGTGGGCCGCCTGGACATGTACGTGCTGCACCCGCCCTCCTCTGGCTCCGACCGCACTCTGGCCTCTGTGTGTGCCCTGCTTGTGTGGCACCCTGCGGGCCCTGCCGACAAGGTGGTGCGTGTTCTCTTCCCGGGCTGCACGCCGCCCGCTCGCCTCCTGGACGGGCTAGTCCGACTGCAGCATCTGGGTTTCCTGCGGGAGCCCGTGGTGACCCCCCAGGATCTAGAAGGACCCCGACGAGCTGAAAGCAAAGAGAGCGTGGGCTCCCGGGATAGTTCAAAGAGAGAGAGTCGGACAGGGACAGCCCCCAGACCTGGCCAAGAGCGACCTGGTGCAGCCCGGAAGGAGCCAGTCCGGGCTGAGCCCCCACGAAAGACCGAGAAAGAAACCAGGCCCTCCCGGGAGGTGAAGAAGGACCCCAAGCCCGTGGCGCCCCGGGCCCAGCCCCGGGAAGTGCGCCGCACAGCTAACGCAGCAGCCAGCCTCAAGAAGGCGGGCACCCAGGGGGCCCCCAAAGCCCGTAGAGCACCTGCTGTGCCCCAGGCAGGTGCTGTACCCGTGGAGAATGGGCCCTGCAGCCCACCCAGCCCCTCTGCTGCAGCCCGGGGCTCCCCCGCACCCCAGTTGGTGGCCACGCCCAGCCTGGGGAGCAGCCTGGAGCTGGGGCTGAGCCCAGCCGGGGAGGAGGGTGGCCGCTTTGAGGACAAAACACTGGAGCTGCTGCTGGCCACGAGCACACCCCGTCCACCCACACCTTCGCCCACCGAGAGCCGCCGGAGTCCAGCCGAGGGCAGCGGGCCACTGTCACTGAGCCCGCTGCGGGGTGGTGAGACTGGGCCCGACGCCTCGCCCACCGTCACCACACCCACCCTGACCACTCCTTCACTGCCTGCCGAGGTGGGCTCCCCGCACTCCACAGAGGTGGACGAGTCCCTCTCCGTATCCTTTGAGCAAGTACTGCCACCAGCAGCCTCCAGTGAGGCTGGACTGAGCCTCCCCCTGCGTGGCCCCCGGGCGCGACGCTCTGTGTCCCCGCACGACGTGGACCTGTGCTTGGTGTCACCTTGTGAGTTTGAGCACCGCAAGGCTGTGCCCACAGCGCCGGCACCTGCATCCCCCGGCAGCTCCAATGACAGTAGTGCCCGGTCCCAGGAGCGGGCAGGGGCCCCCGGGGCCGAAGAGACGCCACCCACGTCCGTCAGCGAGTCTCTGCCTACGCTGTCTGACTCAGACCCCCTGCCTGCTGCTTCCGGGGCCGTGGACTCAGACGACGACACGGTGGGCTTTGGGGTCCCTCGCCATGACCCACTGCCTGAACCCCTCAAAGTCCCCCCGCCACTGCCGGACCCGCCCAGCATCTGCATGGTGGACCCTGAGATGCTGCCCCCCAAGTCCACCCGGCAGAACGAGAACCCTGGCCGCACCCGGAAGCCCCCGGCCCGGCCCAGCTCTGGCACGGCCGCCCCCAAGTCCACAGCAGCTGCCACTGCCAGAAGCAAGGGGCTGGCCAGTGGGGACCGGGCAGGCCGACCCCTCAGCGCCCGGAGTGAGCCCATGGACAAGGGAGGCCGCGCGTCCCTGATCAGAAAGTCCTCAGTCACCAAGACTGCCACTCAAGGCGCATCTGGTGAGTACCTGGGGCTGAAGCCCTGTGCTGAGCTGACGTGAGAGCGCAGCCCTCTTGTGCCTGCGGGCTGTGGGGTTTCAGCCACTCCCCACTCTCTCTGGGGCTCAGTTTCTCCTGGAAAAGAAAAACTTGGCCCTCGCTGTTGAGGCACCTGCCATGCCTCAGTAGGGAGCGTCCGTCAGCAGGAGCACAGGCCTGTGGTTCCAGCAACTCAGGAGGCCGAGGCAGGAGGATTTCAAGTTTGAGGCCAGGCTGGGCAACTTGGTGAGACCTCATCTCAAAATTAAGAAGGGCAGGGGCTGTGGCTCAGTGGCGGAGCACTTCTGGGTTCAACCCCTGGTTCCGCAGAGTGCTGTTAGCAGGTCTGCTGTTGTGGCTTCTCTAGTGGCCACAATAAGTAAAAAGACAAACTCAAACTTGTTTTCTTATTTTATGGTTCCAGACACAGAACCAGGGCCTCTCATGTGCTGGGGAGTGCTCTACCCCTGGCTGCACCCAGGCCTGGGGAAGTCGGTTTAATAGGGCTCACCCCCACGGGCACGGGTCCTGCAGCCGTGGTTTCAACTGAAACGGGTCAGAAATATTTGTTAAAAAAGAAAAATCCACCTGTACTGAAAATGTGCCGTGTGGGGGGGGGGAGTGGGGGAGAGAGGGAGGGAAGGGGAGACATGGGGTCTTGCTGCGCTACCCAGGCAGGTCTCACACTCCTGGGCTCAGGTGATCTTCTTGCCATCACCCCCCCAGTAGCTGGCCCTGAAGGCGTGTGCCAGAGCATCTCAGTTGTCATAGTCACAGCATCACATTTCCTTTGGATCCGTTTTCTGGGAATCACTCAGGTGACGTGCAGCCTGCAGGATGCGGGCGGGCTCTGCGCAGGCGCTGGGCCATTTTACAGGAGGACTTGATCCGTGGAGTTTGGTGTCCCAGGGTCCTGGACCGATCCCCTGTGGGTACTGAGGGGCGAGCAGAGTGTATTTTACTGGGCCCGTTTGTGTCAGGGTCCCTGTCTTAGTCACCTTTTCCCACTGCTGTGACTAAAAGGCCTCATGGCGCAGGGCTGTGGCCGAGGGGGCGGCCCCGTTCCCGTTCCGCCAGGCCAGTCGGTCGGATTGACTTGCTGATGAGGTGAAGGCGCCCTCAACCCATTCACTCCACCTCTGAGCCATGTTGCTTTAGGGGGACATGACATCCAGGCGGCCTCCACTCCACAGTTGGCCGAGGGCTCTGCCTGTGGCTGTGCCCGTGTCTAAGGTGGCCGCAGTCAGGGCTTCTCCGCGTGCCTCGGTTGTGCTTTTGGAAACCAGGTGTTTGAATTGAATGATGTGGTCACTCTGGAGCACAGTTCTGTCCCGGGCCTGCTGTGGCCGTGTCAGTGTTGGACGTCTCTGGACCCAGGATTGGCCTGAGCTGTAAATTTAAGGTCTGGTCTTTCCAGAGACCGTGACTTTCCTGTGTCTGCATGGTGGCTTTCTAACTCCCTGTGGTGGGGTTGCTTGTGACAGTCCTACTCCTTAACTGTCTGCTCCCTAAGAGAAGAAATGGACACCAGGGACAGGAGGTGCCAGGCTTGCACTCCACCTCGGTCCCTACCCAGGGCACATCTCCAGTGACCTACCACTTCCCAGCTGGCCCCACCTTGTGCGGTCCCACGGCCCTCACGTCGCCATGCATAGCTCAGGCTCCCAACACGCGAGCCTTCAGGGGACAGAGCAGAGACCCCACTTGCACGCTGGGGTCAGCCAGAAGAGGTGTATTCCCACCTTTGCAGGCGGGTCTCGTCCCAGCCCCAGGCTCACTGAGCTGTCCCTGCCCCACACCTGCTCTGCGCCCCGCAAGGCCAGACGGGCCTCCATAGAAACTTGCCTACTACAGCTGGCGGCTGCTGGCCCCGCCGCGAGCCGTGGCCTGCCCACCTCCCCGCGCCCCTCCTGCTGCCCACGGTCCCCCTTCTTTTTGTCATCCAGCCTCTGCCCCGTCCCAGACAGCCCCCTCCTGCCAACCGCAGCCACGCTGGCGCTCTGGCCTAGGCTCAGGGTCCTCGCCGTCGCACAGGGGACTCTAAGGCTCAGGGCAGGGCTGCTGGTGCCCAGAGTTGGGAACCTTGGTCACTCTGCAAATACCCAGTGACACTCCCTGGGGGCCACGCCCTGAGCTGGGCAGCCTGAGTGATCCCAGATGCCCAGGGGCGCCAGGCAGGCTCCCCGTTGCCGGGTCCAGCTGTGTCTGTCGGTCAGGCGACCATCTGCTGGCCTGGTGCTGCGGGCAAGGTCCCCATCTGGGGACTCTACGGGCTCTGGGTTTGATCCCTCCTCAGTCACCAGAGTTCGCCACTGACCTGTCCCTCCTTCCCACAGGGGCAGCTGGCAGCCGGCCAGGCAGGCCAGCCACCCCGCCCGGCTCCCCTGTCTACCTGGACCTGGCCTACCTGCCCAGCGGGAGCAGCGCCCACCTGGTGGATGAGGAATTCTTCCGGCGCGTGCGCGCACTCTGCTACGTCATCAGCGGCCAAGACCAGCGCAAGGAGGAGGGCATGAGGGCTGTCCTGGACGCCCTGCTGGCCAGCAAGCAGCAGTGGGACCGGGACCTCCAGGTGCGTGCCAGCCAGGACCCTCAGATTGTCCTGGTGACGGTGAACACCCTCAGTCGGTGGGGGCAGACCTGCTCCACTCCCAGTCCCTGGAGGTCAGCAGGGTTCAAAGGGACCACGCTGTGTCCCTGAGGTTAGACAGGGATGAGGGCAAGTAGGAGTCCCATCTGCTCCACCCGACTCTGCTCCCATGTGGTCACCTGGGTGGGGCACAGGCCTGAGTGAGCTCAGCCCTTGTCCTGGCACCCTAGCACCCTGGCTCCCTGGTGATGACCAGCAGGCTTGGGGAGGGGCTGTGCAGGGCCCTGCAGCGAGATCTGGCCATGGGGCTAGGGTCACCCCCAAAGTCTGAGGTTGTCTGTATGGGGACAGTGCATGCACAATGTCACACTGAGCTGCCAGGCATGTGGCCTGGTGCTCCAGCAGCTTCTAGGAGCCTCCTAGGCAGAGGGCACAGCTGGCAGGAGGGACTTGCAGGGCCTGGGGGTGGGGGCAGGTGTGCCAGAAGGGCTGAGCAGAGCCGAGGGCTGTGGCGCCCAGAGGGTCCATGGGTGCTAAGAGAAGGGGCCTGAAGGACAGGCTGGCCTCTGAAGACGGTCAGCCACAAGGCCAGGTGGTCTTGAATGCCGGGAAAGGCAGGAGCTCGGGGGCTGGGCCTGAAGGGCAAGGGCACCCCATCACCTGTGGTCCGTCTCCTGCCCCCAGGTGACCTTGATCCCGACCTTCGACTCAGTGGCGATGCACAAGTGGTACGAGGAGACACATGCCCGGCACCCGGCGCTGGGCATCACCGTGCTGGGCAGCAACAGCATGGTGTCCATGCAGGACGAGGCCTTCCCGGCCTGCAAGGTGGAGTTCTAGCCCGTCCCCAGCACCCTCTGCTCTCTCCCCGGTCAGCCTCTGTCCTGAAAGTGACCTGCACCAGAAATAAACCGCTAACCTGCTCAGCTGTGGCCTCCGCTCTTTCTGGCTAGGGGAGACTCAGCGGGGGCCCAGGCTGTGTCACACTCAGTGGCCTCGCGCGGGGCACAGGTGGGACCCAGGCCCAGGGAGGAGCCTCTCGTGGTACATAATCAGCTGCCCAGGGGTGCTCACTACAGAGCCCCGTGTCCAGCCAGCAACCACCAGGGAGAGCGTGAGGGAGCGGGCACATCCCCTCTACTCCCAGGGTCACTTCCTGAGGCTCGGGAGACTGAGGCCAGGTTCAAGGCCAGCCCGGGCAACTGAGTGAGACTCTCCCAAAATAGAAAGGGCTGGGCAGGTAGCTCAGTATGTTCCATCCCAACCCCAAAACAAAATGCCGGCCACACTGGCTGACTGGCCACCCAGGAAACGCATCCAGATCCTAACCCCGTGCCGGGCTGGCCGCCCCGGCCTGAAGAGGAGCCTTGGTAGATGAGATTAGTTGGAGGAGCTCAAGACGAGATCATCTTGGATTATCCCGGTCAGCTCAAAATCCAATAACAAGTGGCCCCGGGAGACACACAAGAGGTAACAGACACAGTGCAAGACGACCCTGTGAAGGTGGTGGCAGTGTGCTGGCCTAGGTGCTCCACGCCCTGGGTCCAGGCCCGGCACAGCGGGAAACAAAAAGCCCTGGACCCTCGGCCGGCAGTTGGCAGAGGAAAGGCTTATCCAACCCCACAGTCTGGAGGCCGAGGGCCTCACTTGGCGAAATTGTGTGCCCGAGGTCACACGGTGACACCCAGAGGAGGCAGAGTGAGCCCAGAAAGTCTTACTTGTTCTAGAACAACCTACTTTCTTGGGGGCCCTGAAGATCCAACCTGTCCCCTCAAGGCAAACACCCTTAGAAGGTGGTGGCCCGTGACCCAACGCCTCCCCCAGGCCCCACCTCAGAAATTCCCTTCCCTGCTCAGTATGGCTCATGGGGCCCAGGCTCCCAGTTAGGGAACTTTGGGGGATACCTTGTATCCACGCAACAGTGCTGGCCTGGTCCCTGGGTCCCTGGGGGCTTCAGAGCTGTGGGGTTTGGCTTTCTCCCTCCAGCTGTGTCAGCGTTGGCACCTGGAGCTGCTCCAACAGAGCCCGAGTCCGAGTGGCCTCGGGACTGACATTTCTCACGGTCCAGGCTGAAGCTATTCCTGACTCAGAGTCAGGGCTCTTCCTGGCATGCGGATGGTCACCCTCTTGCTGGTGACCCCACCCTTAGAACCTCATTTAACCTTAAAGAGCCTCCAAAGACCTTTCTCCTAGGTGCCCCCTGCAGGGCCAGGGAGGCTTTCTGTAGGGATTCTGCTGAGCATTTTGTCCCCCAAAGCTGCCCTATGGCACTGAGCCACGTCCCCAGCCCCTTTTCACTTTTTGTTTTGAGACCGGGTCTTGCTAAGTTGCTGGCCTGAAACTTGCCGTGTCCTGCCTCCCCCTCCTGGGTGGCTGGGATCACAGGCCTGTGCCACGGCGCCCAGCTAGCATTTGGTCATTAAGACTGGGAGTTCGGAGTCGGCCCCTGGCAGGCGGGGAGGTCTCCCCAGAGGGTAGTTATGGGGTGGGAGCCCCCAGTGGGATCTGCTCTCTAGCCGTGTTCATGGGCATATTGGGGCTTTAAGTGGCCACAGGGCAGATGGTGAGAAAGGGTGGCTGGAGGGAGGAGCCCAGGGATGCTCATGGCCTTGTACCTGGATGTCAAGAGAGTGGCTCCCTGTCAGCAAGACCAGTGTGCAGCTGGCCCAGGAGGACCTGAGGAGTCCAAGGAGGGGCCCAGGGCCCCAGCAGACATGCTGGCCAGGAGTTGCGGGGCAGCTGGAAACCTGGCGCCAACCTGGTCACTGCCCACTTCCACACTCTCCTGTCTCCTCGCAGGAGTCCTGGGAGAGGGGACAGACAGACTCCCACTCACCCGGCCCCTGTGGCCTGGCTGGAAGGTCATGGCCTTTCTCAGTTGTCACCGCAGAAGGTTAGACTTGAGGTCCCACTGACACATGAAGCCAGATTGTCCAGATTGGTTACCATAGCCAAACTGTCAAGTGACCTGGCCACCTCCTTGTCATGGAGATTTCCCGATAGAAACACATCTTTTTTTCTAATTCACTGTGTGAATTTCACCTCTTGGGTGTTTGTCTTTTTCATTTACGTGTAATTCTTCTTCTCAGTGAGAAACGGTGAACTTTGGTGTGGTAAGTGTTTTCAGTTTTGTTTATGGACAGTTTACATGGTCTCCAAACCACAGGCTTTATTCCAAACCACAAGCTTTATTTATTGATTACTTATTTTCCTTTGCGATACGGGTTGGAACCCAGGAAGGGCCACACGTTAGGTAGCCACCCCTGAGCCAGCCCCCCAGGCCCGTGACCTTTAAATGTCCCTGTGTTTGAGAGGCCCTACCCGAAGCGGCACATGTTTCCCACGTTTTGTTGCGGTGGTTGTAATTCTGTCTGTGACCTCAGTTTTCACTTTTGTCCATTTAGGGCTTATTTGGGGATGAAGGGAAGGGCAGGAGGTGTCTCATCCCCAAGGGACACTCAGTTACCACATGCTGTGTACAGAGTTGAATGTCCCCTCCTCCAGTAAGGTCTGTGTGTCACTGTCTGTTTCTAAATTGGCTCTATTCATCACCCACCTCTGGGTGTCCTTGTTGTTTTAATTACTTGGAACTTTGTGTATGTTCCTGTCTCAGTGCTGAACCCTGGGGCGCTCTACTACTAAGCTCCATCCCCAGCCCTTTTTATTTAATTTGAGACAGGGTCTTGCTAAGTTGCTGAGGCTGGCTTTGAACTCATGATCCTCCTGCCTCAGCCTCCTGAGCCCCTGGGATTGTAGGCGTGTACCACTGTCTCAGGCTACCATCCTCAACCCTTTTAAATATTTTTTTTTTTAAAGAGAGAGAGAGAGAGAATTTTTTTTTAATCTTTAATATTTATTTTTCAGTTTTCAGCAGACACAACATCTTTGTTTGTATGTGGTGCTGAGGATTGAACCCGGGCCGCACGCATCCCAGGAGAGTGCACTACTGCTTGAGCCACATCCCCAACCCTTAAATATTTGTTTTTTGAGATAGGTTGGCCTTGAACTTGTGATCCTCTGCCTCTGCCTCTGAGTAGCTGATTCCAGGTGGGCCACTGCGCCCAGCTATGATGTGTCTTAATAGTTCATAAGGCAGGACCTTTTTCTTTAACTTAATTTTTATGGTGCTGAGGATGGAGCTTAAAGCCTGGCACATAGCTAGACAACCACTCTATCCCTGAGCTACACCCCAGCCTTTGAATTTTATTTATGAAAGAAAAAAATTCATAAATCTCCAGTTATTTTCACATACTGATTCGTCCTGGGGGGTTCTAGAATCTCCACAGAGGGGGCCCAAACACATGGATAAGAAATGCAATAAAGTTACTGGGAGCAGCAATCCAGGCCTGTCATCCCAGTGACTCAGGAGGCTGAGGCAGGAGGATCACAAGCTCAAGGCCAGCCTGGGCCACTTAGTGAGGCCCTGTCTCAAAAAATTTAAAAGGGCTGGGTATAGCTCAGTGGTAGATAAAGCACTCCCTGGGTTCAATCCCTAGAACAAAAAAAAGAAAAAAAGAAAAAGAAAAGCAGAGGAAAAGAGATAATGACTGAGAACTTTCTAGAACAAATTCATATTTAGTAAATCAAAGATCCCAAGCACTGGGCTGGGGATGTGGCTCAAGCAGTAGCGCGCTCGCCTGGCATGTGTGCGGCCTGGGTTCGATCCTCAGCACCACATACAAACAAAGATGTTGTGTAAACCGAAAACTAAAAAAATACATAAAAAAAAAAAAAAATCCCAAGCAGGATATATTAAAAAAACACAACTGAGTGGAAGTGCAAAAAAACAGTCAACCAAAAAAGTGAGATTCATAGAACCAAGTCCCCGTCCCCAGCCTGGTGGTGGGAGCAGGGTGGACTGTGCACACCCACAAGCACTCACACCCACGAGCAGAGAGGCCACCCCACAGTGCCTGGAGGAGGATCTGCCACTGTGACCCCCACCGGGCAACTTCCAGGGAGTTTTTTCAGGTGATGTGAGCAGATGAGCCGCCACATGGAAGGAAACAGCAAAAAAGAAAGAGATACATGAGTCCATCCAAACCATCACCTTCACTAATAGGCCATCCTCCTGCTTCAGCTTCCCGAGCAGCTGGGAGGACAGGCCTGGATGCATGCCACTGCCCTAGTTTCCTTTGGTAATTATACTGTCCCACATGTAGGGTTAAAAACAACCCAGTTTAGATAACAGGGCCAAATAAGAACAGCCGAATGGAAGATGAGGGTCTTAAAATCCTGGTGTTGTTTGTAAAGAGGGTAACATTACTTGGGAGAGCATAGGGGAAATTTTTTTGGGGGGAGGGGGTACTGGGGATTGAACCCATGAGTGCTTAACCACTGAGCCACATCCTCAGCCCTTTTTACATTTTGTTTACAGACAGGGTCTTGCTGAGTTACTTAGGGCCTCACTGAGTTGCTGAGGCTGGCTTTGAACTCAGAACTTTTTACCTCAGCCTCAAGAGCCTCTGGGATTACAGGCATGCACCACCGTGCCCAGCTAAAAATTTTACAGTAAATAGTAGGAGAATATAACTCCTCTTTATCTTCCACATTAGTTGATGGGTGAAAATTAGAAGGTAAAAAATATAATTGAAAATAAGGTCCATAGGGAAGAAGAGCTCAAAAGAAGAATGAAATTTCATAAAACTTGCCAGTAATTACACTAAACATAAATGGACAAAAAACTTCAAAGACAAAAGACTCGGGATTTTTTTTATTGTTTAAATTCAAGGGTTATGTGATTTATAAAAAAACATGTAAATATAAAGATGCTGAAAACTTGAAAGTAAAGGATAAGAAAAAAATTATCTTGGTGAATCCTAAAAACTAAGAAAATTAAAGCCAATACAGCCAAACAAATAATTATTGCTGTGGACTAGCATGTGTCCCCAAAGGTCATATTGTTGATACTCTGCAATCCCAAATG